ACCTCCTTGTACCCCCAATATGTTTTTCCCAATAAAAATTAAAAAAATCCATTTGATGACATGGGAGTGGGGCAGAAGAGTGTAGTTGGATTTTAATCACTAGACACACACACACCCACACACACACACTTTGCATGGGGGTTTTTTTAAGTTTGAGTGTCTAAAATATGGGCATTGAGATGAAGCATAATGGGGCTATGCAACTGCACTAGACCCACCCAACAGAATTGTTTAGTACACTGACTTCTCTAATAAGAACAGGTCCTGGGCAGGCGACTGGTTGTGGTAACTCCCTGTGTATGTTTATCACGTCTTTGTTCACAATGGCAAAGAGTTGGAAACAACCTAAGTGTCCATTAACGAATGGATAGAGAAGCTGTGGTATATTCACACAAGGAAATAGTAAGCTGCACTGAAAAACAAGGAACTCATTAAATATTCAAAATGGATTACCCTGGAGGACATTATGCTGAGTGAAATATCTCAATCATGAAAGGACAAATACTGCATAGTGACACTGTTGTAAAATGGGACTGACATCGTGGTTGGGGGGAGACTGAGAAAGATGGGATAAATTATGTATGCTGCTTTGAAACAGATGAGGGAGAGAACTGTTTAAAAGGGATATATGATTAGGTATTATTGTCATGACAGGAGTCCAGAAGGAAGGCTGCATAGTGCAGTGGACTTGGGGGGAAGGATTGTATAACAATGGAAGAATTTTTCTTTTCCTCTTCAAAGAGAAGAGCAAACTGTTGGAGAGGTTGGGTGGGGAGAAAAGTGCAACAGTGAATGGATGGAAATCCAAAGTCTCTGTAAATTTTCATTAAAACTAATTTAAAAAATGAGCAAAAGACATAGAAATAATTTTCAGAGAAAGGTATTTGAATGGCCAACAGACATATGAAGAAATGCTCAAAATCACGTGCAATAAGAGAGATACAAATCAAAACCACAATGAAACACCATCTCACTCCAGTAGCAGTGGCAGAGTTTAACAGGACAGCAAGCAATAAATGTTGGAGAGGATGTGGTGAGATAGGAACTCTCATACATTGTTGGTGGAATTGTATAGTAATACAACCACTCTGGAAGGCAGTTTGGTGCTTTCTCAAAAAACTGAACACAGAAATTCCATATGACCCAGATATTCCTTTGCTTAGAATATACCCTGAGAAATGAGAACTGAGACACAAATGGAGACTGGTACACCAATGTTCATAGCAGCATTATTCATCATTGCAAGAACATGGAAACAGCCCAGATATCTGACTGCAATAAAATGGATTGAGAAATTATGGTACATTCATACAATGCAATACTATGCAGCATGCAGGAGAAATGATTTTGTAAATTCCTACCTAACTTGGGAGGGACAGGAGGGCATTATACCAAGTGAATTAACTCAGCTGCATAAGGACAAATACTGTATAAAACCATTATTGTAGAATGAGAATGAGGATCCAAGAGGGGGGAGGATGGGAGCAGAGGGATTAAGGATGGGGGGGGTGGGAGTGCTGGGGTTAATCATAGGGATGTGGAATTTGAGGGTGAAGGGTGAAGGAAATGGGAATGGTCTGGTTTGAAAAACAATGTACTCAAACTTTGTAAATAAACCAGTTTTTAAAAGAAAAAAAAAGATAGGAGAAAAAGATAATAAAACTTCTTCTTACATACTTTAGGCATGTTGCTAGGAGAGGCTACTCATTGGAAAGGGACATGATGTTTGGGAAGGAGGAAGGGCGGCAAAAGAGGGAGACCTTGACCAGGTGGATTGACACAGTGACTGCAGCAACGGGCTCAAGTGTTTCAGAGACTGTGGGGATGGCACAGGATAGGTGCAGGATTCACATCTGTTGTTCATAAGGTCAGCATGAGATGTTCTTGACTCTACAGCACCTAACAAAAGGGACAAAAAAGTCAAGAGTAAACCACAGAGCCAGTCAGGGGCCTCTCTGGGTAAAAAGCAGACCCTTGTTTGACCACTGGCTACTAGGGACAGACAGCCTTGTGGTTCATTCGCATGGACGCAGGAAACTGCTTTGGTCCCATTTGGTACTCATAATGGGGAAGTAAGGTGGATTTGGCATCCCTCCTTTCCTGGGAAAAGCTCATTAAAGATCTTTATTGTCCTTCCCATTTAGCTTGTTTCTGCAAAGCTTTTTTCTTTCTTCAGTTCCCTCAGGATAAATACAGGAACCACGCTTTTCTAAGAATTGCCTTGTCTTCTCAGCTATGGTGGCACCAATGGGAGGGAGCGGGGTTACAAATCTAAAGTTAATCAGACTTCCTTCTAGGTAGTGAGGACTCAGTCATCCCTTGGTGGACACCCCACTTTCTATGACAATGGAGTTCTCTCAGAACTCAATCTCATTTGTTTGACTTCTTCTTGTTGTGTACTGTACATTCGCAACTGACCCATAGCTGATTCTCCAGGGGGTTTTCAGAGGCATTTAATCACAGGAGAGGAGATTTCCCATTCTTCTCCCTCATTTGACTTCTAGAGGTGAGAAAATTGCCTAGTGGAAAGGATAGGAAAGGAATTCCCTCCTACAGAGAGAATAATGATGACTTTCACTCTCTAGTAATAGTCTGATAGTAGCTAAAAGGAGAGGACTTATTTGCTGGGTGATGATTGAGGGGAATGGGGCTTGTTTAACTGCTCTTATTAAATTCTGACACATTATTAGGCCCCAGTGGTGGCTGGGCTATCTAGTCTGGGGAGTAGCCGCGTCTATTGTTTTCCAATGGGTCCCCAGGGCAACAGTGAAAATCTTACTCAGCATCTTATTACATAACCAATAGTTCAACTTGGCATGCTACTGCAACAGTCCAGAAAAAGATCACAAAAGCTAATTTAAATCTCATTTTGTCTAATCCTCCTGCCACTCTTTTGAAAGTCTTCGTATGCACAAAAGCTTACAAAACATATGTGGAAATCTGGGAGAAGTCAATAGGGCGTGTAAGAAATGTAAACTCTCAAACAATCAACTACTCTCTTGTAAAAAAGGGACACCATTGTGACCAAACACCAGTTTAGCTTCATCATGGCCTGATGTGAGGCTCTCGTGAAGTAGGAATGTTTATGGAAGGACGCATGGAAGACAGTGAACGCTGAGAAGGGGGAAAGAAAACAGAGCAGGCTCAATGCAGTTCTTGTTTCGTTCCTGGCTCCATGGATACCACTCAGACCCAGCTGCTGGCCCCTCTGGGGGAGGCTAGAAACTGGCAGGTTTCTTTCATTTGAAGAGCTCTGGCATCTTAGTCAGAGATTGGTATCCATGGCCCAAGGACTTAGCATTCCTGGCCTGGGGTGATGAAGAGAGATGAATAGCATTTTCAAGTGCAGTCAACATTTCCCTCTAGCCCTCTCCAATGGCCCCCACACCCCGATGCACACCAGTCCTAACTTTGCTGAAGAAAAACATATTTGTTATTTCAGATTCAGCCTAACATAATGAAAGAAGCCAGCAGAACTCTCTTGTCGTGAGAACTCTGAATTAGTAAGTGCTGTTTACTCTGTCTTTAATAGAAGTAGTTTTCCCTTTAGACTCTAAAGCAAGACACCTGAAAAAGCATGTCTTTGTTGCTTCATAACCTTATCTTTCCTTTTAATGTTAAGCTTGTCCCTGTATTATTGATCTGTAAGGCTTTTTGAGAGCAATATGTTTGTAGCCTGTCCTTATCATACATAGCTCTGAGAAGATTACTGGGATGGACTCAGGGAAAAGACAGATAATTTCCTTCCCATCAGAGCTCAGAAGAGAAAGACGTTGGTGTGGGCTTGTGCTCAGGATACTGAAGGGTGAAGGAGCTGGAAGGTCTGGGATGGGGCAGGGGTGAGAACAGAGGGGTGTATGCTCTCTGCAGGTGTCTCACCGAGGCTGCCCCAGCTGCTCACTTGGCGTGTCTGTTCTATTTCCTGGTCAGAGGACTTCACTCTGTATGCTGGGGTACACTGTCTGGGATAATGATTGCTGTGATCTGATGTCCTTAGAGTCCAGTCACAAGCTCACTTGATGCCCTGAGCTCTCTGCACACCAGTTGGCACAGGCTGAAGTAAGCCATGTATAATGTGAATAAATGAATAAAAGTGGAGGCTCCGAAATGGCCCGCACAGTCATTCTCTAATCCTCCCCACCCTACCCCAGACCTAACTATGTATGCTCTAGGGAGCTGTAAAGAATGAGGTTTCTAATTCTAAGCAAATTCTTTTTCATTTATTTGATGAGAGAAGTTTTGGGGTTTTTTTTCGCACCTTTATTTGGACCTTTGCTTTTCCTTTTTTAATTTCGTTTGTTTATTTTTCATTTCAATGAACATCTACAGAGATTTTGGGATTCCATTCATTCATTGTTGCACCCTTCTCCCCGCACAAACCCCTCCCCCCTCCCCCCCCTTTGCTCCTCTCCTTGAAAAGCAAAAGAAAAACTCCCTCATTGGTACACAATCCCCCCCACCGCACCTCCCCAAACCCCACCCCCTACCCCCAAATATAATCCACTCTGCAACCCTCATTGCATACTCCTATGTTGTGTGAAATTTATAAAGGGACTATTTATCTAGGCTGGAAAAAAAAATAAATAGCGCTTTGCAGTTAAAAAAAAAAAAGGAATAGTAAAAGTGATTTCTTTTAATCAGATTAACAGTGTTTTATGTATGCAGATTCTTTCTTCCCAAGAAGCTTTTCTTATATTTATCATTTATTTGGTCTTTAAAATATCTGATTGGCACCTATGTGGGGAACTATAATTTAGCACTTTCTCTTAGTGTGTGAACAAGGAGATGAAGATTCAACAGAAACCCTTTACTCTCAAACTTCTCAATCCTTCTATGTTACTCTGAAAACTCATTTCACTTTACAGCAATAACTCCCCATAGTGTGATTGCAGCTAGTTCAGCAATTGTGCTTCAAACCGAAAGTCAGAGGCCCTTGGCCTGGGATTATTCATCGGGATAGCCCTGGAGTGGAGACAATCTTGGTTTATTACTTCTAGACCATGAAGAGGCTGGAAAGGCATATGGTCAGGGGACCAATGCACAGGCATTTTGATTTGGAGAGGAAGACAGCCAAGCAAGCTGAAGCTAGACTCAGCCAAAGCCTGCAGAGACTGGAGGCCATCTGCCTCTACCACATGAAACTGCTGACCCGAGAGCAGAGACAACTCCAGAGAGACCTGCAGAGGCTGCAGCAAGGTGAGCGAGCCCTGGGGAGAGGCTGGGTGGGACAACGAGGGCATCACTTGGGTTTTGAGACTTGGAGGCTTTTTAGTCTAGTGATGTAGCCCTGATGGGGTAGTGCATTGCATACTTGGTTGGGGTAGTGCATTGCATACAGGGTTGCTAACATATAGGTTGATGGTTTGAGTCCAACAGCAGCTCTGCAGGCAATAGATAAGCAGTTCCCTCTCATGTAGATTTACAGTCTCAAAAACTGATGAAGGGCCCCTGTGAGTCAGACTAGACTGGACAGTAGTAGATGGATATTGGGATCAAGAGTAAACCGATGAAGGGCCCCTGTGAGTCAGACTAGACTGGACAGTAGTAGATGGATATTGGGTTCAAGAGTCATAGCTCTGAAAGCTCCTCAGAAGTAGGATCTATGTCTAGTTCACAAGCGCTCTTAGCATAGCACCTGAACAGGTTAAGGTTACGGGCTGAAAGAACCCAGGCATCCATAAATGAATGAAATATAGAGGCCCCAAAGTGGCTCTGTTATAAGTCCCCAAACCCTCCTGGTTCTGCTCCAGACTTCATCTCTCATGAAAAAGAAAGGCCCTCCCTCTCAAAGACCTGGATACTCAGAAAACAAAATCTCCTGATCTCAACCTGGAGTGTAAACTCTGAGCCCTTTCTGCCCCTCCCTTCACAATTATTCAAGTCCCCGGAAGTAGTCTCTGCATAAAACTTCTTAAACTAATGTTTTGCAGGTCAAGGTAACCTTTCCAATTAGCTCTCTCTTGCTCTAAACCTTAGTTTTCCACTTTCTTATTTTATTTCGTATTCCTCTTGTTTTTTACTATATCTGAGTGGTTGGGTAATTATCTCTCTTCTTTTATATCTGGTATTTCTCTTTTGGAGCTAACAGCCATTTATTGAGTAGCCACTAATGTGTGAGTCATTGTTAGTTGCTACTGAGTTGATGCTGACTCATAGTCCATGTGTCCTGAGTAAAATTACTCCACGGGGTTTTCAAGTCCGTGATCTTCTGGAGCCAGGTTACCAGGTCTGTCTTAAGAGGCGAGCTAGGTGGATTTAAACCACCAATCTTACACTTGGTAATCCAGTGCTTAGCCATTTGCACCACCAAGGAACTTCAGGCACTGTCCTAACCCTTACAATTTTCTGAGTAGAAAGTCAAAGAAAGAAAGTTCTGTGGATGCAGAGAGTAGAAGCAGTGCATAAAAGCTAGGCGGCCAGAGCCCCGCCACAAGTGGAGCACAGAGCACTTGGCACACTTCAGCGCTCGCTAATCAGAGGTACTGGGCCCTCCTTTCCTCTGTGGAAAGAGGATTTCTCAGCTAACTTCTTTGTGCTACAAATTTCTTTCTCCTAAATCCTACAGATTTGTCTTAGACTAGGACACTTCAGACGGGGGTGCATCTGTGTTTTCTGTGTCTTTTTAAGCCAAAGACTTCTGTTTGTTTCCCAAAAGAGGTTCCTTTGCCCCTAAGTTATAGGCTCATATCCTTAGTAGTATCCACCCCTTTTAACCTTCTGCTCTAGAAGAATTAACCCTTTCCAAACACATATCACTTAGAAAATGACACAATTCGTGTATTCTATTTGGCTAGTAAGGCTTGTGGCGTGGGTCCACCAGCTGCTCCTCAGCGTAAGGCTGGGCAATCTCCTGTGTGATTAACTGCCTCTGAAACCTCCTGGAGGATCAGCTTTGGCACACAACAACAACAGCACGTGGTTAATACATTAATGCATTGATATTTAAATAAATTCAAACTCATAGCCATCTAGCCAGCGCTAACTCATAGCTGACCCTCTAGTGGGTTTCCTGAGGCTAGAAACTACACATGACAAGATTTATCATCTTTCTCCTAAGTATCGCCTGGTAGATTAGAACTGCCAGACAAGTGCCACCCTTGAAGTAACAGCGCAACTCTCCACAGACTATGTCACCAGAGCTCCCTATTGATTGATTGATTGTTGTTGTTGTTGTTATGCACCCTTGAGTCAACACTGAGTCATAGCTGACCTTCCAGTGGGTGGTCAGAGGCTGTCAATTTCACAGGAAGAAATTGCTTGTCTTTCTTCTGAGGTGCAGCTGGTAGATTAGAATGGCCTGCTTTTGGGTGGGCAATGCAACTCTTTACACACTACCACCAGTGCTCCCATCCGTATTTATATTGTTGTTGTTGTTATATGCCATCGAGTCCTTGTGACTCATAGCGACCCTATGGACAACAGCCTTAAACCCTGCCAATCGCACTGCCTCTGACACTCCCATCCCGATTATCCAAGTCACTGAATCAATCCACCTCATAGAGGATTGTCCCCTCTTGTGCCGTCCCTCCACCCTCCCAAGGATGATGTCCCTCTCTAAGGACCTGTCTCTCCTTACAACATGTCCAAAGTATGTCAGACGAAGCCCCAGAATCCTTGCCTCCAAGGAGCAGCCTGGTTTAACCCTCTCCAGGATGAATCTGTTTGTTTTATTGGCAGTCCATGCTACATTCAATACTCTTCTCCAGCACCACAACTCAAAGGCATCAATTCTCCTACCTAGGCATGGTCCAACTCTCTGATGCATAACAAGTGATTGTGAAGACCATAGCCTGAATCAGACACACCTTAGTATCCAGAGTGACACCATTGCTCTTCAGTACCCTGGAGAGGTCCCTAAAAGCAGACTTTCCCATCACAATACTTTTTTTTATTTTATTTATATTAATATACTAATATAATGTGTTGTATTTAAATGGCGTGTATATCCATAGAACATAACTTGACTTTTGTACTTGCATCTTTTTGTAAGTACAGGTACAAAAGCTAAGAGTAAGGCCCAAAAGTATATCCAGGGGACTATTTAAAGCTCCAGCTCTGGTATAAAAAGTTGATACTGAGCAGGTAATTGAGCTTCCTGGTTTCCATTTTTCTGTCTCCAAAAAGTGAGTGAAATTAATACAGAGTGAGAGATTCCTTACAGGAAAAATATCTCAGAGACCTTTTGGGTGATTCCTGCTTTAACTGGGACCAGACTCTTGCCCTCCAGAAAGCGTGCAGAAGGCCCCACTTGATAGAGGTGCTTGTCCTTGTTGAAAAGAGAGTTGCTCTTTTGATAATGTAAGAAAGTCTGGATGATAAGATTACAAAACTTGATTCAGGGGCTTCTGCCTCCATGTCTTCATGGGAGTCATATCCTTCTTGTGCCTCAGACCCCTTAACACTAAATTTAAGGAAGAAGGAATGAAACAATATGTATTAAGTCTTAGTTTTCACCAAACATAGGGCAGGATGTGTATATATATTTCTCCACAAATAAACTGGGTATACAGGCCTGTGAGAGTCTCTCCGAAAGGGCCAGAGGGAGTGAGAATAGCTCAGCCCCTCACCACCCCAGAGCAGAAGGCAGATAAAGCACCCACAGCCCAGCCCTTTGATGCCTCTAGAGCTACACCAGCAGCAGGAGGTTAACTTACTCATTGTTCACTCAGACTATTGTACTGAGAGTGGAGTTTATTAGAGAAGTAAATTGGAAAGTAGGGGAGGCAAAGAATATCACCCAGTGCAAGTCCAGGTTTTGGACTCCAAGGCATAATTAATTCATTAATCCTGGCACTGGTTTCAGTTCAGCAGTCAAACCCCAATCATCCAACAAGGTTTGCCTAAGAGCAATTATAAGCCATCTTCTACTTCAATAGTCCAGCAAGCATAGCAAAACTTTTAACTGTGGCCTTTATCTCTGAGCTCCTCTGAATTTCTCCACAACAATACCACAGCCTCTCTACCACCATTACCAGGGTCTTGTCATTAGGGTCTCACTGCCACCAGGCTCTCTAACCAGGACCTGGCTCTAGTCTCCCTCAAGTCTTGCTGCCCAGTGAGGGAAGCACTCTCTTATTCTAGTCCTATACAGATGATGATTTGCAAGATCATGTATCTGCAGTTAAGGTAGCTAAAGACCAGAGGGGCTTAACGTAATGGCTAAAAAAGCCAAAGTTAGGCTAACACTGCAGATAGACTAGGGAACTCTGTCAGTGTAGCCTATAGGAGGTTGCACTGCTAAAACAAAGGTGACACTTCATGGTGGTTCAAACACGATACCAGCTCCATGGGATAAAGATGGATAATCTTCTCCTGTGTGATTTACTGCTTCTGTAAACCCTCTGGAGGCTCAGCTATGAGTCAATTATGACATCATGGCAATAAAAGAAAGATAAGAATGGATTATCATTTATATGTCTAACACACACACACACACACACACACACACACACACACAA